GCTGAGCACGGAGTGAAAGGAAGGCAGAGGCGAGACTGCTGAAGTGAGGAGACATGGGTCAAAGTCAGTCAAGTTAAGAGTTCGATTATACCCTAAGGCACTGAAGGCTTCTGGTGAGGGTGTGACAAGACCCGATCTGTGTTTCAGAGGTACCTCTCCAACTACGCTGTGGGACAGTCCGTGGAGGGAAATGGAGGAATACACAACTGGAGGCAGCACAGCCAGACAAGAAGTGCTGGCACCTACGGGCAGGACAGCAGTGGCCCACGTCAGCATACTGATGGCAGATACGCAGAAGGAACAACATGACTCATGAGACACGGAATGTGCACCACAGTTAGGAGGTTAAGATGACTCCAAGGTTTCGGCTTGGAGAATTATGTGAACTGGTGATGTGTTCCCTGAGATAAAAACACCAGAAAGAACATGGGGACAAGAAAAGAGAAGGGAAAAAAATTGACAGGAAAAGTAAGAAGGATTTCTTTGTTGTGAGTTGGAAACCTTAGTCCTACTACATCCATCCCACTGTCCCCTTGAACTTCTGAACAGGAGACAATATGGATTTGAACACCACCTCATTTGCAGCAGCGAAGCGAATGTGATTGTCCTCAACAAATTCTATCTTTCACTGTAGATCTAGATACGAAAATCTATAAACTTTTCTAGTTCACAAATCAAAGGTTTAAGAATAAACACAGAATTCTTGATTTAGTCCAGACTCTCTATTGGCTAACAGGAGTCCTGGAGCCAGGCTGTTTAGGACCAAACCCTGACTCTGGTTTTTACCAGCTATGTGACCTTAGGCAAGTTACCTAAGCTCTCTGTGCCTCTGTTATTTAGAAAATGGACGTAATAGTTGTATGTACTACTTAAGGTTGTTATAAGGAATAAATGAGTTAATATACGTAAAATACACAGAATAATGCACAAAAAATGTGCTTGCTATCACTCTAGATAATATAACTTATGGAGTGATATATTTTACCTTAGAAAGCACATGGGACACTTGTGGTACCTGGCTAAGTTGATGGAGAAACATCCCTCAACCCCAACCCATAAGGATGCTGAATAAAGTAATAAGATAATACATAGCAGAGTTTGAAAGAACAAAATCCCAGATACGCTGGAAACCAACAGGAAAGTCAAGGTTGATGGAACAGGCACATGCTGGGGGGAGGGGCACGAGGTGGTGGGGGTCAAGCACAGGGATGTCAGAGGTCAGCAGGGACATAAAGCAGGGGACTGACTGTGGCCCCTTCACTCCCAAATGAGGGGGAGACCTGGCTCTGGTCTCACCAAGCAGAGCAAGGCCTTGTAAAGGGGTAGTAGCCCAGTGAAAGCAGAAATGGGAAAACTGCCCTTGGGCTCAGGGAAAGCAGTGAAGACCTGCCTAGAGGTCTGGGTGGGAATCATGACACAAATTCTCCACTAGTGCCACATCTGGCTATGAAATCCAACTCTAGAGCCGTTATCCTAGAACCAGAAAAACCTTTACGTCCTCAATGGAAACAGACACAAAACTACTGTGCAGGGACACCTTCATAATCCAGGAGGCAGAAGAAACAAGCTCTCAGTATAGGTAAAACCCACTGTGAAGGCAGCTATCCATTCCCAAGGGACAGTTAGCAAACAAAACAAAGAATTAGCTGCACAACCTGATATATAAGAACGTGCTGAAAAGGGCTTTGACTTTATACACTTTACATTAGAGATAAAATTAGAAACAGATGTAATGTGAAAGGACTTGCCTCTATGGAAATATTAAAACTTTATTATGATAAATCACAGAGAAAAAAACGTGACAATGAGTGTGTATATGTCCATGAATGACTGAAAAATTGTGCTGAACACTGGAATTTGACACAATACTGTAAAATGATTATGAATCAATAAAAAATGTAAAAAAATAAAAAAATAAAAAATAAATAAAACTTTAAAAACCACCACCTGGAACTTCTAGAATTATGAAAAAAAAAAGTCAACTAGGATTAGAAAGTCGAAGGATTAAACAGAAAAAATAGACCAAATTAAGAAAGAAACTGAAACTAGAAAATAGATCTGAGGAAATTACTCAGAATGTAATCCAGAAAAACAGAAATGGAGTGAGAAACTAAGAGGTGGGGGATAAAATAAGAAGGTTCAAAAAACACCCATGAGGAATTTCTGCAGAAAAGAATAAAAGAATGAAGCAGCAAACTTTGAAGAGGTAATGCAATGGACTTTTCACAATTGAAAAATAATGAGGTGAGGGTATATCTCAGTGGTAAAGCGCATGCTTAGCATGCATGAAGTCCTGGGTTCCATACCTCTATTAAGAAAATAATTAAATAGATAACCTATTACCTCTCCTCCCCCCAACAAAAATCCTATGGTAATAAAGTGATGTGATCAAATATAAATGCACAATACAACATTATTTATAATGGTCAAAACCTGGCTACTACATAAGGATACACATAGGGTTGTCTAGAAGGAGAGACTGGCTACACTACCTTCAGGAAGTCTTTCAAAAGTTTTACAAGTTTGGGTGATTTTATTTGTTAATGCAACCAGACTTCTGGCAAAGATAAAATAGTAGAGATTTCAATACTGCATTCTTTGCACCCCTTGAATATGTTGCCAATGCCAGAAACATAAATTTGGCATTAATCCAGACAGAAATTAGGTTTAAGGTCCACTCATGAAAACAAAAGTAAGTATTTTAATAGAATACATTTTGGACCAAAGACAAGTGTTTGATCAAAAGTGTTTACGGGGGTTATGAGAGGAAAGAATTGTAAATAAAGTTGAAAAATCAGTGTGTGATCAGGCTATGAAAGTCCTTAAATGGCCAGGATAGAGTCTGCATTTTATTCTATAGTTTCAAGGACACTTAAAAAGATTCTCTCAACAACAAAAAAAAACTTATAAAAAGAAAAAGTAACTTTCTAAAATTAACCTGGCAGCAATAATGCAGTAATTTCACAGAATTTGAGTTGGAAGAGTTCCGTCAAGTCTTTCGATTCAACTCCCTTGAGAGATGGAATGCGGGGGTTCCCTGGAGGCAGGGAGATGAAAGGGCAGGCTGCCGCAGTGACCTGGGTTGCCACAGCACAACTGGATACAGGAAACGGAGTAAGAAGGATGCTGACTCTTAAAGTGCATGTTCATTCAGTCTTGTACTAAAATTAAAATGTAAGACAACTAACAATTTCAGCCACAAGATCTGGACTCTGTCCATAAACACTTCAGTTTTTCATCTTGAGAAGTCACTGGCAAACTACGTAGGCAGTCTGGAGCAGGATGTGTATCTATCAGCTTCCTTTAATAAAACACATGGTGCAGGATTATTCTGTACAATCCTTTGGCGTTAAGATCAGACTCAGCTACCTTCGAAACTCTTCAGTTCCATTCATGAAATCATCTCAACCCTATTTACTTAGCATTGACGTGTGTAGTTTTATTTATCTACACCAGTCTTTCAGAAAATAATGTTTATAATTGTTTACGTATAAACCCATTGACTTTTTTATTTCCACTGACTTTTTTTTGTAGCTATATGAAATAGCGTTGTCAGATCAAAGTCAAATATATCCAAGTTTCCCAGATGGCACTGTCCAAAATAAAATCTCTCTTGTAGTACTGAGTATTATGCCTCTGAGAGCACAAATGATGCATGCCATCATTATGACGGACACAAGGGTCATACAGGTGATCTGAACCAAGAGATTTGACTTAATGTTTGAAAGAAAAAAACAACTTAATTTGGTTGTAGTTCTGACATCATTTCTTTCTTCTACCCAGGTTAAAGAAATTAACCTTTGTATTTCATCTCACTCTGTACAGTTTCTACATCTTTTAAATGTTGTTAGTATCTCTGTTTCATTTTGATGGTTCTTGGTGAAGATGGTATTTTAAAAGCCCACTGATGGTCTAGTTGCATAACTCCGAACATACTAAAAGCCACTAAATGGTACACTTCACATAGGTGAATTCTAGGCTTATGTGAATTATATCTAACGAAGCTGCTATTATTTTAAAAGTCTACTGAGGATGAATAGCACTAAGTAAAAAAAAATTCCAGTTTGCAATCAATAATCCAAAGGACTTGACCGCTATCCTTCACAAAGCTGTCGTCACTGATGTAAATAAATGTTTGCTGAACTGAAGCAAAGAGATGCCCAAGGTACACGTGGATAGATACAGAGCATTCATGATCAGTTTACTCTAATATTAACATTTCTTCAAATTCTCTGGGCACACAAACTAGATCATGATTAAAATAATCATAAAATCATAGACAACTAAATTGATTCAATTTTAGTGGAGTTATTTATAAACAGATCATAGCTGAAGTCTAAAGCGATAGTTTAATTTATAAAGTAATAAACAATTTTTTCTCAAAACCTAATTTTTGTATTGGATTTTTTTTTCCTTTGATGGAAGCCGTGGAGATTGAACCCAGGACCTCTTGCACGCCAAGCATGCGATCTGTACTGAGCTAAACCCCCCACCCCTTGTATTGGATTTTATATTGGGATTTTGAATTTTCTATTGGATTGTATTTTGATTTTTGGAGTATTTAGTTAATTCTTAGTAAATTGATAACTAATGGAGAATGAAGGTATAAATAGCTACTCTTGGAAGGTAGATTAATAATTGGACAAGTTCACATATACAGAGAATGGCAGAAGGCCAAGATCTGGAAACTACCAACCCCTTCATTTTATAGATAAGGAAACTGAGGCTCAGAGAAATTAAATGTTCTGCTCAAAAGTAACAATCAACAAGCGGCAGAACAAGGATTCGAACCCAAGATAACTGAACTCAAAAATCCAAGTTCTTCCAGAATTCATGAACAAAATTCTCACTACACGGCCAAGATGAATTTACAGCCTCAAAAAGTTAACATTAACTCTGTTTTCCAAATACAATTCTGAATTTAAAACCAAATGTACAGTCTAACTAAAAAGTAGAAAGGGTCAACACCTAGGATAATGGGGGGGGGTGTCTGTTTTTACCTTTAGCCATGTCACACTCCTTAATCATTTTGAGAAAGTTGGAAATTTCCCTATCTAGTCTCTGTTGGCATGTCTGTGCTTTCTGGAAAAGAAAAAAAAGAAAACAAAGTTAAACTAATAAAGGATTTTTACAGTACAAATGCTTTTATGTTTCTATCAAAACTTTCAGTTCACAGGTTAATACACTGTAATAGTTGGGACATATTCCTAACAGAGATAAAGGTGAGAGAAATTTTGCTTAGAAATTGAACGTAACATTTAATCATGTACAAATTAATAAAAATAAGTTTTTCTAAATTCTAAATACATTGAACATGTCATGTAGATACCACACCACTGCATTAATTACTTCTAATAACTCACTACACAATATATACCTGAGATGTTAGATTTTTCTCATTTAGCACTTGTAGTGGGCTTGATTAAATTTGAGAAATTATAAAATGCATTCCTTAAGAATATATTTTAAAAATCGTTTGTTTTGGAAAAAAAAATCCAGATGGTACTAACATTTGGAAAATGCAAGCTGATTTTCGTTCAGCAATCTGAGTGCACATAGCCCCCATGTAATTAGACCAATAAGAACATTTTTAGTAAGTAAAAGCTTATAAAAATAAGGTGAAGCGTTCTTCCTTGTAATTTGAAATTTCTACATATTTAGAGCCATAAAAAGTGAAACATAAATACAGAGTTTCATGATGTAAGTTGCATCCTATTTTAGTAGATTTGGAAGTCCAAGATGAAAAAAATCAGATAAGTCCATTATATTAACAATGTAGTTTTAAAGGTAGTTCTTTCTATTTACAATTTCCCTTTAAAGCAGATTAAGAAGCAAGAAAATCATCATTGTAAACTTGGTTTATGGTAATAAAAAATATTATGAGAACCTTCACCTTATTAATATTAAGCATCACATTGTTGTCGGTACAGTAATAATATTTAGCCTATGAACCTTCCCTACTTTGTACTCCTAATCTCAACTGGCTCAACACCAAACACTCCCCCTAAATCAGACCTATGTGCCAAGGTGACATAGGTAAGCACCTTTTTCACCTTATAAATTTTTCAATGCTTATGAAGCTCAGCTCAACCACAGCAGAATTATTCATGGTACCACATTAGTGACAGGCAATGCTCTCTTTAAAATCTACATTACTCTGTTTTGAGAGCTCTAACAACATAAAAATGCAATTCACATTTTCTTTTTTTTTGGAGAATACCCACATTATGCAATTTAAAACATCACACAAAGAGAAATGGTATGCTGGATGATTTTTTAAGACGTAGCCTGTGAATACACATTGAAGGCAGGAAAAAAAGTCGATCTGGGGGCTATTGAAAAGCCGCACTGCACAGCCAAATGTATCACTCATAATTTATTAATAGAAAATTGTCATTTTCACTCTATACATATTTAATACTCCTGCCCGTGTGCGCGCCAACGCTACTGTTTTCTCTTTTCCCTTCAGTGGTGAAAGTTAGCTGGGGGCACAAAAGTGGGCACAGGCTTCACTGCAGTCTGCGAGTGTGTAATCGACATGATATTCCTGTGGTTAATTAAAGACAAGAAACCCTTTCCACAGCATCGTCCCCCAGTACTTGAGTCACATTCATCTTCCCCTGGCTTATCAGACAGTTACTGAAAAAAGTTCCTCGGATCCACAATTCACTTGTTTTCAGAGGTACCTAATATCTTCTCCATCAGACCTTCGATTTACACATACTGTTTTACAGTTCAGTACAAATGTGTGTCTTCTAAACAATTAATGTCATTTAACTGATACTAAGAAGAAAGAGGTTATTAATAGAGTTAAAAAAAAAAAAAACCCGACGCTCTCCAATTTGTTTTCATTTCCTCTTAGCAGCTATTTTACAAAACCCTAAAAATCCATCTGTGAAGGGTAATGCTTATGAGTTCTTTGCAGAGCCCAGCATGGTGTCTCACTGACTTCTATGTCACTCACTTTATGCCAGGGACTCCTTTCTAGGTTTTTAATTTTTATTTAGTCTACATAAATGGGCTCCCACATGAGCAGTGCTGCAATACCAGAAGCACACCCACAGCCCTGGGCCCCAGAGGGTTGGAGGCACCCAGGGGAGGCACCCACCACAGCCTCCTGCTCCTACTTCTGACCTCCCAGATTTCAGACCCAAGCTGTTGGTTTAGTCAGACATCAGCTGATGTTAAACTACTTTATGATCCCTGGCCTATAGGACAGTTGAAAAATGTACATCAAGGGGGTGGGCACCTAGGGAGGAGAGGATCAGCTGGCAGAGAGGTCACTAATTCCAGGCTATTTGCTACATAGACAATACACATTTGGCTAATTAAGAACAGGAGCACACTGCCTTCCACTCAGCAATGAGAAGAAAAACTACTGATACACACAACACGGCTGAGAGGTGAGCACATACGGTACAATCCCATTTACACAGAATCCTAGAAGGGCGCAGCTGACAGCGCCTATAATGACAGAGCGCAGATCGGGGGCTGCAGGAGATGGAGGAGAGGGCACCGCCTGGAAGGGGCACCCAAGGGCTTGTGAGGTGGTAGAAATGTTCTATACCCTGATGAGTGTGATGGTTACACAGGGTGTTTGTCAAAACACACCAAACTGGAGATGTCAAAATGCCTCCATTTTATTATATAACAATTGGCACTTAACAGTAATCTAAACTTGAAAAATAACTGATTGTAGAATCCAGTAACTTGCCCCTGCAATACTGTATGGTGCCCCAGAACTCATCTCCAACTCTTCCAAACTCTAGCCAAACCCACATCAAGGATTTGTATTGTAATCCTTAATATATCCCTCAAATAATGTATTCTGCAATATTTACATAAAGTAAAAGAAAAAAAAGAATATACAGAGAAAGGCAGTTCTTCTTTACATACTTATCAGTCCTAGAGTCCATGTTTTCTCTTTCCAGTCTCAAAGCAACAATTGCTAATAATTTCTTATCTTTCCAGGGATGACCTAGCCTACACAAATGCGTGTATATGTCCCTGTGTTCTCTCTCTCAACTAGAAGCACATTAGATACAATATTTTATACTTTGTCCTTTTCACTTAGCTATAAATCTTAAATGTATCAATATGTACAAATATGTCTCATTCTTGTATGGCTGTATCAATCTTTATCAGCCTTGAGCTGATGTACATTCATCTTTCTGCACATTCACTTTAGTTGGAAATCATTTATTCTTCAGTGAGGAAAGTTTGATACTACTTTCTCATTTGTTTAACATTTCACATCATCTGCTCATTACTTCTTGTAACACAGATACAGTTCAGAGCCTACAGGAGTCAAGATATTTTTAATGAATAAAACCCCTGCTTTCCTAGAACCACCCCAACTCTAAGAGCCTATGCCAGTCTGACCCAAGAGAACTTTCTACAATGACGGAAACATTCTACAGCTGCACTGTCCAAGGTGACAGCCACATGTGCTACTGAGCCCATGAAATGTGGCTCATTTAAGTAAGAAACTGAGTTTTCATTTAATTCTAATTAATTTAAATGTAAATAGTACCTAGCAGCTATCATATTGGGCAGTGAAGTTCTATACCAATGCTTGCTTGAATTTCTCTCCTAGCTTTTATTCCTAAAATATTTTCAAGTTTCCATAAAGGTAACAACCATAAGGCCAATATTTCTATGATCTTATACTTTTCTCTCTGTAGGCCTAACCTCAAGGCAGTGACACACTGAGGGCTAAAAGAAAACATTTTAAGTTTTTGAAGGCCCTCATTCTGGGCAGACGTAACAGGGGACCAAGAGTATCATAACAGGAGCACTTTTTCAGTGTGGACTTTCCCGATTCTCCCAATTTCTTACAGGTTTACTTACTAGTCCAAAAGCAGACTGAGGAAATAAGGCTAATTTTATGTTCATTCTGGTAGTTACAGAATATTCCAGTCCTACAGTTTCTAATTTCCTTTAGAAAGTCTATAGACATCTACAATAGATCCATTTCACAAATGGTCCCAGGATTTCCTTGCAACATAAGAACGCAAGGATCAAGGGCATTCTGGAGCCAGTCTACCATAAGCTCCAATTCAACTCACCTCAAAGCTCATCTCAGATTTGACCATTCTGAACCAACCTTCAGAAGCTGAGACAGAGTCAAGAGTCTCAGAATTAGCATTCAAATTCTGTTAAGCAGATCTGTGTATAAACTGCAAGACTTAAAGTACTTAACACTGGCTGAAACTATCGTTGACTCCAGATGCTATAAAATCTGGAAGTCAAAAACTCCATGGCTTTAAAGTTAACATAGGAACACAACATTCAAATAAGGAATAAATACAAGGTATAATTGTGGCTGACAACCCTAAAGTTTGAAAATTACCCTAAAGAAGAAATATTTCTCCAAGAAAGTTTTTTAACAGTATCCAAGTTAGTATGATTTTATTTGACCTCTAACTTTCATTAAAAAGTTCTTAAAATTATAAGCAAAAAAAATTTTTTAATTACCGTAAGTGTTGGAAACATACTGATGTGATTTATAAGCACTTCCAGTTTTTATCATTTACCTTATGTTGAGGGTACTCAATAGGAAAGGATTCCTTTTTCACTTAGGGAACACTGACTTAAAGTTAAACAAGTGAAAAACAAAAGTATGCTAAATATTTTAGCCATAATTTTGGCCACAGATATTTAAGCCTCCTTTATTTATGCAGTTTTAATGTCGTTTAGATGTTCTGGTAGATGTGGCTTTTGCAAAGTTCATTGATGTGAAAATTATGTTTACAGTTGTCACACGTTATATACCAGGGTTTAAAGTAGGAGTTCTGTTAAAGTAACTGTCAAATTCTGTGGTATGTCTTCAACAACACATGGAAGAGTTCAAATTCTTTCATGTTGAATCATAAATTAAGATTAGGGATTGAAAGTGTCAAAATTTCTTTCTTGTTTAAGTTTACATAGGCCTTTATGTCAATAAAATTCCTTAGCTGTTGGCAAACTTAAACTCACTAGAGTTGTTGACTTAGAAGCATTCAAATCCTGCAATAAATTCATTTCATAAAAAAGATTAAATTTAGTAGGCAAATTCACATGCTCTGACATAATTATTTAGATGGAAACGCATCCTCCTTTCGTAGTTCTAATTCTTCCTCACCCACTCCCATTTAAAAGTATGGCCAGAAAATTGATGCCAAGAAGGAAAATACGTATTTCATTTCAATTACTTATGTTGACATTTCTCTGTGGATGAGGCATTGGTGTCACTTCAGCTGAGGGCCTCTCCATTCACTACTGACGCTTTACCTTACCTCTAATCAGTGAAGTTACAGATTACAAGTGGTTTTAAATGAAACTACAGACCAGGAAAGGTATCACTATGGTTGCATTATTTAAACTCTGAAATGTGCGGTGAAGTCATAAAGGACAGCCTGGGAAGCAACGCTCCCCCTACTGGCAGTAGCTCTCAGAGAGAATGGCAATTTTTTTTTTTTAATTGAAGTACAGTCAGTTACAATGTGTCAATTTCTGGTGTGCAGCACAATGTCCTAGTCATGCAGATACATATATTCATTTTCATAAAACAGAATGACAATCTGAGTACAACATAAAAATTTTAACCAGAAAAGATACGTACATACCTATCTTTAGAGCCTATCTACAGACACATGTGAGTTATTACCACAGCAAGGACAGTACACATAGCAATAGGATGTTACTAGAAAAGAGCAATATTATCTCTACAGTCGTCAGAAATCTTCATTTCAAACCTCATGTTAAAATAAGAATTCTTGGTAAATCCTGAGTGACAGAGTTAGCGATACAGGCCAGGTTACATTTTCCTATTTACCTCCAAGGATTCCTTCAAGTCCACAGCAGAAACGGCATCCTCCTCTTCATCATCAGTCAGCTGGTCCTGGGAACAGTAGTGAGTGCTGTAAGCAGAATGCTCTTCTATTGCTTCCAGCCAGTCCTGGAATCATCCAAGGATTTAAATAAGCATCAAGTACACTTTTCCTCAAAAAGAGATATTATGACAATGACCTGGAAAGCATAACATTTATTTGGAGGGAAAAAAAGACCATGGCCTCAAAAAAGCAAAACAAAACAAAAAATACCCGAAAAGAGAGTAAGGATGCAGGTCTCCTGTCCGTGACACGTCTGGATAAAAAGTTTTCTCAATATTTAAAAAAATTTCATCTACAACTTTACATATTCATCAATACTCCAACATACTATAAAAACTTAATAATGGGGGAAGAATTTTTCACTTAAAATTATAGGTTCTCAACACTGCTGAGTAAGTTATTATACAATAATGTATCCAGAAACAGTTTTATTAACTTGTCATAAGCACAAGAAACTCAGATCATTTTGAGAGAGCCAACAACTGCCCAAGTGTATGCTTTAATTCTTTAAAAAAATCAGTGATTTCAAAAAAATAATATTTGCCCTAGAAATACCTACCTTACTTCTACCTCAATTCTTACAGCATTATTTGGGGTCAAATCTTACCCTTTTATGAAATATTTGGACAATGTTTTGGATTGTCGGGTTCTTTGCAAAGCCAAAATTAACCACTTTGGAAAATAGATTCTTTTAATCTCTTACCTAGTTTACAAAAAAAAACAAGACAGGCTTTGCTATAAAGGAATATGGAGTCTCCATTAAATAATAGCACAACGAATTTGTCACGCCAATCCCAATTTCCCTGCTTGCTGCTGCTGTTCAGTTGACCACAAAGGCAGGCTGTGTCTACACTGCAGTAAGTCAGAAGACCTGCACTGGAGCCAGGTTCTGTCACTTGCAAGCTGCGTGACTTCAGAGGTCTCTTTCATCTTACAGTCTTCAGTTTCCTCACCTATAAATTCAGGGCCAGGCTAAATAACCATTCAGATTTTTTTCCAAAACCAATAAAAGCCTCTTACATTCACAGACGCAAAATGAAAAAAAACCCAAATGAGCAGAAAACACCTGCAGGTACATGTTGATAAACAATTTATTTCGTAAGCCAAACTTTGAAAGCTTCATATAATCACTCCCATTAAAAAGGTACAATCAATAAGATGTTGGGTGTTAATATAGAGCCTGTCTTATATTCTTTATGTTCTTAAGTGTTCTTAAAGTTTTTATGAAAGATAAAGAAAATCCATAAAATTACCTCTCTTGTCTGTTGAAGGCTATTCTTAGGAACCCTGAAGCCATGAATAGTGTCATCGAAGCATTTAATAAAGAAGAGGCAGCTATCAGTGGATTTTACCTTGGGTATAAAGAAGTCAGTAAGACAGTGCATTCATGCACATAGAACAGAACCCGAGAATTATCTATACATAAAATTAACAGTACTAACACGACAATACCCAAGAGAACATTTAAAATACTGACTGAGAAAAACTGATATGTTTGGAGTATCAAATGCATTGCTCCTTATCTATGTCAAATTTGGCTTTCATATTCTTGGTTACTCAAAGTAAATACTAATAAATAGTTCACTAGGTATGCACTTTTCCTTTTATCCTTTCTATTAACTATAACACAGCATGCACTTGGGCTATAAGGTCCTTTAAATACCACAGCTCCAATTTCTTACTCATGCCACTCTCCTGAATGTTTTGTTTGAGCTGTGTACAGACAATGTGTGAACTGGGCATAAGAGAATGAAGAGGAGACAAGGAGGAGCTGACGTGTGAACAAGAGCTGGCTGGCTCAGTGGGGAAGGACATTGGGAGGAAAGGAAACGAGGGGCTCTGCAAGCAAGTTCCGCACCCCCCCAAGACTGTTCACCTGGAACGGAAGAGCCCCACCACCACCGACACAGGAGCAGCAAAGCATTCTTAGAAAACTGTCTGCCTTTGGAAATCAAGAAAGCAAAGCTGGGCAGACATCAAT